TGTCATTCGGCAAAACATCAGCAATAATGAAAAAATGAAAGTTGTTATTATGCTTAACTTCCTGACCGAAGGGTATAGTCCAAGTCCAAGTGAGTGTAGTGGTAGTCTTTTCTTGTCAATTGGTTATCTTGTTACTCATTACGCAGTACTCAGTACATGGTAATTGGTACTCAGTATTTGGTTGTGATACTTGGTATCTAGGAATCAGTAGTCAGCTTAATGAAGGTTGTAGTCCGAGTCTAGGTGAGTTTATTTGTAGTCTTTTCTTGTCCATTGGTTACCATGTGACCAAGATATAAGCTAAAGAAATCCAAAACATCAATAATGACAAATGAAATACATTGTGCAGTAAGTGAGTCTAAAGATAAAAGAATGAATATTAATAGTGAGACTTGCACATTATGTCGAGATATACAACATAACAAGCCTGTGATGTGATCAGAGACCTGGAATAACACCCATATACATCCATTATAATAGCTTAAAAGCTTAGAAAGATTCATGAAGGATTGATGTAATGATAGGCAAAATAACATATGTGTGGAGAGTGACAATAGACATCTTTTATACAAAGTCACATTTATATATGATTCAGGCCGAAAATATCATTACAAACAACTTTCATTTTTCATTATCGCTGATGTTTCAGATTTCTTTAGCTTATATCTCAGTCAAATGATAACTGATGGACAAGAAAAGACTACCAATACACTCCCCTAGACTCGGACTACAACCTTCGGTAAGGAAGTTAAGCGTAATAACAACTTTCATTTTTCATTATCATTTGCCTATATTGACTACCAGCCACCAACCACCAACCACCAACTACCAACTACTGAGTACCGAGTACCGAGCACTGACAAATACAATTCCCAAGTTATTTGAACCCTACACCAATGGATAATACATACAAATATAGAATTCATGTCCATTTGAAGTACCGGGTTTCGGGTTTCAGCACTCAGCACTTGGTAATTTGTGCAATGAGTAGATGGGCATGTGGCATACATGTTTTTGGGCTTCGGGTTTCAGGATTCGGCCCTCAGCACTCAATGATCTGTGTAATGTAAATGAACAATGAACATGTTGCACACCCAGTTTTGAGTTTCGGGTTTTGGCACTTGAAACTCGGTGATCAGTGCAACAAGTGAAAAATGGAAATGTTGCATACATATTTTCAGGTCTTCGGCTTTCCGGTGAAATTGTGGTCCCGGATGAACCAGGCAACCTCCTGCCAGAATATGATTCTTCTGATGAGGAGATGGAGGTTGAGGTGAAGGTTGATCGTCCTGGTGAGAAGGTTGAAATGGCTACATAATTGCTCAGTGATAGATGTACATAAATCTTTTTCAATGCATGTTACCTATGCCACAATTGAATGATTCAATCATCGAGTTCCAATATCCAGAACTAGAAACTGTAGATTGAGGTAGATATCACCCGAAACCCGAACACCCTAACACCTGAATGTCAAATTTTGACAGTGCCGGGTGCCGGGTGCTGAGTCCCAAAACCCAGAACTCAGGACTTGACATTTGAAATGAAACACATTTTTCAGACATGTTTGAATCTGCCTACATATATCCATAAACATTTTACTAACCCCCGACCCCTGACAAATATCTTTGTCCAGTCCCACATATCGAGTCCCGAGTTCCGGGACCCCCGAACCCCGAAACCCAGCAGTCCACAATTTCGGGGTTCGGGGGTTGGTAAAATGTGTATGGATATATGGAAGATTGATTTAAACATTTTTGAAAGATGTTGCATATGAAATGTCAAGTCCCGAGTTTCGATTTCCGGGTTTCGGGAGTGCCGAGTCCTGAAGCCTGGAGTCCCAAAACCCAGAGTTATGTCAAATTTTCAGTGCCAAACCCCGAATGCCGGGTGCCAGGTGCCGAGTCCCGAAACCTGAAACCTGGAACTCAGGATTTGACATTTGAGATGAACATCATTTTTCAGACATGTTTATATGAACCTATGTATATCTATAAACATTTTACTAACCCCCAAGCCCCAAAATATATTTTTGTTGTCTCACATCCTGAGTTCCGAGTTCCAGGACCCTCGAACCCCGAAACCCGGCAGTCCCCAATTTCAGGGTTCAAGGGTTGGTAAAATGGGTATGGAAATATGGAAGGTTGATTTAAACATTTTTGAAAGATGTTGCATATGAAATGTCAAGTCCCGAAGCCCAGAGTCCTGAAACCCGGAATTCAAAACTCAGGACTTGACATTTAATGAGACATCTTTCAAAAATGTTTAAATCAACCTTTCATATATCCATACACATTTTACCAACCCCCAAACCCCTAAATTGTGGACTGCCGGGTTTCTGGGTTCAGGGGTCCCGGAACTTGGAACTCAGTATGTGAGACAACAAAAATATATTTCAAACATGGGTAAGTCAATGTGTTTGTCAATCAACTTGATTGTAAATCAAATTTTATTGATCTCCCCAAATTTCCCAAGTTCCAAGTTCCGAGTTCTGGAACCCGTCCACAATTTAGGGGTTCGGGGGTTGGTAAGAACTCGGGAAATTTGGGGAGATCAATAAAATTTGATTTACAATCAAGTTTATTGACAAACACATTGACTTACCCATGTTTGAAATATATTTTGTTCTACATACCGAGTTCCAAGTTCCGGACCCCTGAACCCCGAGACTGCCGGGTCTCGGGTTTTGGGGTTCGGGGGTCCGGAACTCGGAACTCGGTATGTAGAACAAAATATATTTCAAACATGGGTAAGTCAATGTGTTTGTCAATAAACTTGATTGTAAATCAAATTTTATTGATCTCCCCAAATTTCCACAAGTTCCGAGTTCCGGACCTCCGAAACCTGAGACTGCCGGGTCTCGGGTTTCGGGGTCCGGAACTCGGAACTCAGTATGTGTAAACAAAATATATTTCAAACATGGGTAAGTCAACGTGTTTGTCAATCAACTTGATTGTAAATCAAATTTTATTGATCTCCCCAAATTTCCCCAAGTTCTGAGTTCCGGGACCCCCGAACACCGAAACCCAAGACCCAGCAGTCTTGGGTTTTGGGATTTGGGGGTTGGTACATCTCGGTTTGGGGTTTGGCACTAAAAATTTGACATATATATTTTTGTGAGTGTTGTGCTTCTGGTGTCCATGCGTATAAATAGGATATGTTGCACACCAGGGTTCAGGTGTGGGGTTTTTCCACTTCAGTCCTCGATTATTGGTCAATGCCACACACGGTCGATTCATGTTTTTGTGCTTAGGGGTTTAGATTTGGTGGTTGATGGTAGGTATATGCACTCATAGTGTACATGTATCCTACGTGTTTGATTCGCTGGTGGCTACATCAGCTGTATGTCTTGATGGAACATATCTAGGCTCACCCATATATGTACCCATCTATGTACAATTCCCCCACGTCAGCCCACCCATCTATGCATTATCCCCCACCTCGGCCCACCCATCTATGTAATACATCCTATGTTGGCCCACCTGTCTATATAATACATCCTATGTCAGCCCACCCATCTATATAATTACACCCCACCTCGGCCCACCTGTCTATGTAATAAATAATTTATCACACCCTCAGCCCACCCGTATATGTAATACTTTTCACATCGGCCTACTTGTATATGTAATACACCCCACATCAGCCCACCCGTCTATGTAATATTCCCCTACCTCGGCCCACCCATATATGTAATACACCCCCGTTGGCCCGCCCGTCTATATAACAATATTTGCCTTACATCTCTCTTCAGCCCAGCTGTCTATAATATCTTACTCTACATATTACCCAGATGGGCCCACCCATCTCCATGAATGATCATATTCCCCCGGCCCATCCGTCAACATCAAGGATATATATATGTATCATTGGCATACATGGGCCCACCCGTCTCCATCGGAAATAATATGTGTCCCGGCCCATCCATCATCATCGAGAATATACACAACATGGGCCCATGATCCGCTGGCCCGTCTCATACAGGATATTATGGAGGTCGGGTGGCCTGTATAATACGGAATTTGTCACTGAAGGGGCTCGTTGGTCCTTTGATTCTTGTGATGGTCTCCACTTTCGGTATGTTGTGCCTCATGCTTTGTAGTGATTCCTTAGCTCATTCATGAGATAGGCATCTGCCTCATTGCATCGTTACTCTATGTGAGTTGTATCTGTTCGAAATGACACTGTCTGATCCTGTGTTTCAGTGGGATCCTTGGCACATCTTCTCCAGTTTCTTCCAATACCTATGCTTGGCTCCATGTTTCATGAATGTACTTAACATTTATACATTCTGTAACTTGCACGATGTGTATTACACTTTATTTTTCAGAATCCAGATTTGATTGACATGCTGAGAGAGAAAGGACTCTGGCTCAAAACAGCGCAGCACTACTTCAGCTTTCTGCTGACATCAGGCCTCCTGTTGAGAAGGAGGATGGTATAACTGAAGAAGAGATTGAGATGGTCGATGACTATAAAAAGGCTTTGTCTCACCAAATTGAGTTGACCAAGAATCTGAAGAAACAAATCACTCGGACTCATTAGTCTTTCGATGTGCTCCAGTATATGAAGCAGAAGTGTTTGAAGGCTGCCAAAGCAGAATGTCAGCAAGTCAAAGAGCAAGCACAGAGGTGAAGAGTCCAGGCCGAAGAGACTGAAACGGGCTGATGAAGAACAAAAACTGTGGCACAGAGAGCTCCTTGCTCAGCAGTCAGCACACCCAGAGGCCAGGTCAACAAGATATTATGTCAATCTTAGGGTGTTGGAATAGCAAGTGAGCACTCGCAGTCGAGGTGTGTAATTTGTTTTTGTTCGTTATGTTTCGGCAACTTGTATGTTTCCATTGTCTGCTCTTGTTATATACTTTTCTATTGTACTTACAGAATCTATTGATCTCATGGGCCAGCACCCTATATCTTTTGTTTCAAGTCTCAGATACTTATTCATTCGCACAAGAACACTTAGTCTATTTAGTTAGCTATGGACTCAGACTGCCACCTCAGATGTTTGCCTTCGTGCGCACGACTGAGGTAAGATACTTTACAATTCCCGTTTGTTTACCTTTACTTACTTCGAGCGGAGTATCTGTTTGTTCCAGGTGAATACACGCAGACATTTGCCTTTGCGCGCATGACTGAGAGTGTCTGTTTGTCCCAGACCCGTGCAAGTTTGTATTAATCCTTCACAGGGAACTTCGGGCAATGTTATGTTTGGTACACCACCAACCTCGGACGGTCCTCCTTCATCGTCAATGTTGACCCCCGCATTATCATCATCATCATCAACTGTCTCAGCCTCCTATAAGACACCCTTGTTTGTATCAGCTTCCACTGACGTTGGGAGACAGGTGATCACAGATGCACCTTGGTATTCAACTTAACTGGCTTCTGAATTCCCTCTGGATTCGTCCATTTCTCCTCTACCAAATGGGCCACCTCTGACTTCTAAAAAGGTCACATTGCCCAGCACTCCCAAGTCATGTACCATCCTTGCTAGCGATGACAATGAATGGACTGAATGGACTGTCAGTCAACAGGTGAATCCCTCACCAGCTTAAAGAGAGGCAAATTTGTGACACATCAAGAACAGGCACCATGTCAAGGAGAGTGCTACTGGAGATCAGAGTGTGAAGTGACCTAACAGGATAACCACTGATGGAAGTACCACGACTGAGAACACCGTGTTTGACAAGGACTGACCTGTCCGTGTTTTACCAGGATCACCAAATCGGGAAACGACGGGAGTTTCCATTTTGAAACCTTCTTTATACCCTCTCATACTTCTCATTAAGGTTCATTTCCCGTTTGACACTCGAAACACTGCTACTGTGCTCGCTGGTGAACACGATGAGCAGGTCTTGCCTCTGACACTCCCCTTGGATAGTATCTGCCCCTCGTGCACAACCTCTTCCAGCTTGTCCCACTTGTCTTCTGCGACGCACTCTGCTACCTGCTGTGCCTTGTCACGGTCTTCATCAATAATCTCCCACCTGCTGCACCTCGTTTTCGTCAACAATCTCCTGCCTCCCGCAGCTCGCTGTCTTTGATAATATCCCACCTGCTGCATCTTGTCTTCATCAACAATCTCCCACCTCCTGTGACCCATCTTCTCCCACCTCTCGAATCTAGCCCACTTCTTGTCCTTGAGTCGGACCTTGACGTGCTCTCCTTGCCACGCAGATGAGCTAGATCAGATTGTTGATGGTCAATATCGCTCCTCTGACTTCACACTTGTTCATGATGTTGCAGGGGATGTTGTTCCTCCTTTTCAGTATCAGAATAACACTGCTGAAGGCATGCAGTTGCAAACTGAAGGCAAGCAGCTGAAAAAGAAACAATGTTGCTCAGGTAACATGTTCTTTTGTGCTGACCACTGAATGGTATTGACTCTGACTATTTGCCAGTGTTGTATATTGCAAACGTCCGTAATAGGACCAAAGCTCATAGTGAACGAGCAAGTAGACTCGTGCGTGTGGTATGTTTTCAATGCTATGTCTTTCATTCAACATTGATAATCATTCCCACCAGGTTGAGGATCTGGACAAAGCATCGAGACCATTCATTTTCCTATATATTGCAAGGTATGAGTACTTTTGTTCTTCCTTCATGTTTTCTTACTATTGCCATTCTACAGACCAGAATCCATCTTATCGAAGAATGGAAAATCTGTGATCCATATATCTCCTGCCTTACAGGCAGCTTTTGATGCGAAGGGAGATCACTGTCCCATTATGGACATTCATAAGACGGCAATGGCATATGTTCGTAAACAAGTACTGAGCAGCAAGGACATTATTGCGATCAATGCAGAGGTTCATCAGGCACAGGCTGAGAAGCACCAAGTCATGAACAAGCTTCAAAATCTTCAGGAGGCTCATAGTCATGAGCTTTTGGCTGAGCAGCAATGTTGTCAGGCAGTTGAAGCTCAGCTTGTATCACTTACCCAGCAACTTGAACTTAGTGCATATAATATTTAAGCCTTTAACGAGACGACGTCAATGGACATCTACATATACATTACTTGCAACTTCTACTGCAATCACTTAATTGGCTACTACGTACATACATTTATGACTGGTTAATCACAACAGACAATACATCTACTTAGCATGCATGGTATATATCCTATTGATCGTGTTCCGATTCCAGATATCAAGAAAAACTTTGGTGTACTGTGCTGCATGATCGTGAATCATGAAACTGACACTTTTGCGTATCCTCTTGATACCTTTATTCCCACATTCAGCTGCACTGGTGTTTACAGCACGAACACGATCATCAAATCGCATTTCATTGCTTGCAAAACATGCTTTACCACAATGAGTGTGATCATGAGCATGCATTTCATCAATAAGGAACCGTGTATGCTGGAAATAGCGGGCTTCATGGATGAAGCTGTAAGGTGCAAGTTGACAAGCAAAGTCATAAATTATGACTTTTGGTGCAACTGGAAATTGGGTGTAGATTGCAGAAAAGACATCATTTCGACCTTCTGCAACTGGGATAGAGTGAAAAGCCGAGACAGACAGAATGTGTGCACCAAAGTACGAGGATGCCACCAGTGAGATTGTTTTTGGAGTAGGTTTTGTAGAACTTGTTGCAGTCATCCATTTCTTCTGCATCCCGATCAAGTCCTTGGTTGTCATACCGAAGTTTTGAGTATATACGTCATTTCCGTATCTCTGGTAAGCCATAGCATATGCCTATTTTCTCCCATGGCTCAGATGTGGGCTGAAGCATGGGACTAGGTTCATGTTGTGCTAAACGAGTGTAAACATCATCCGCACGAGCTGCAAGCCAACCTGCAATATTTCGGATGTCATTTGGGATGGGACATTGCCCATTCACATGTGCATTGATGACAGCTCCGAATGCTGGACATATACTCTGTAACCAGTTTGGTGGGTTCCCTTGTTCTCTCAGTTGTTGCAATGGCTCAATTGCAGCCACTGGTATTAGCTGCAATACAATATCAGGTGCAGCAATTTGTTGAATGAGATCTCGATACGTCCGATAATATGGGCTGTTTGTGCCATTTGAACAATAGAGACAGATGAAAGATGACAATTCTGGGTATTGCGCATCGATCTTTGACATGTCTGGCAGGATATTAGGAATATGTGTGACTGTAGCATCTGAAATTTTGTTCACTGTGGTACAAATGTCCTTCTGAGGGATAGCTGGAAGGCATCAAGCACGATATGATGATATGGAGTCCACCCACTCACTCCTTTCATCAACAGAGGTTGGTGGTGAGATGGACTTCGTTAATTTGGATACATGAGTTCCCAGACTGACTCCGTCCGCAATTACAATGTCAGGAGATGAGCCGCATGTAGGGCATTGCATACCACTGTCAAGACACTGTCGTTGAGTGAAGGCAAACCAGACTCGAACAAAGGTGTCATCCAAACAAAAGCTATTTTCATCTCCAGCATCTTGATAGGAATGTCGCACAGTCAAACAAAATGCAGAGAATGGTGTCTCCGATGTGGTGTATGAATTTGTGTATGCATTCAACAGCTCGTGCAAAAATAACATTGTGTTGTTCCAGTTGAATATACCATGGTCTCTGAGATTAGGGCCGATGTGACGACAAGAATGGCAACAGACTGGACAAGGAAGCAACTCAATTGATGCCGTTCGTCGGGCAGTAAGTCCATATAACACAGCTGTCTTCAATACTCGAGGACCAGAATGGCCTTGGAGGACCGCTTGCGCCATTGATAACCCACAGACACACTGTGATGAATCTTCAACTGCGAAGTGAGAGTCGGTTGACACTTGTCGGAGAGGAAGGGTAGCTTATTCAGCAGGTAGAGCACACCATTGTGGAGGAGGAATAGGGAGATATGAGATAGCACGATGCTTTGCCAAATTAACTCCACATTGTGCCGCAATCGCACCCATTTGATGACCATCCTACATGTTCACCATAAGTCCAGCTTCCAATGCAAAAGCTTTCGCATGTGGCTTGTGCTTGCAAGCATCTGAGTAGCGGCACGAATGACAATGCCAACGGCCATCTTGCTGCAATGTAACAACAACACGTTTACCGGACTCATAGCGACCCATAGCTGATGCACAAGAGAAAATAAACTTGTCATTGAAGGGTGTCAACTGTAATAAAACTGCAGGAGGGGCCGGGAACGGAGCAATAAGTGGGAGGCAGCACAAGGTGTCGATGAAGGAACACAGGGTGTCCTGGTGGATACAGACATGAGCAGCCTTTCAGCATGGACACATACACGCAACCCCATATTCATCGTCACTCTGAGGTAGGTAGACCACATGAAAGTAAGATCCAAGCTGCGAAGGTCCAGTCAGTATGAAAATTTTGCCATGCATTTGTTCTCCTACCTGTAGAACTTCCTCTTCGCCATCCCAATCCTGCAATACCCACAGATCCACACTAATCCTAAAAACAGCATCCACTGCTACTAAAGCATCCCAGTACAAGGTGCGGGTGTACAGATCACTGGTGTGCAGCAACACAGAATTCCAAACGAGGTCATCATTTGGTGCATCAGACGGTGTTGTCTCCAGTAGCAGGCATGGCTGCTCCAACACATTCAGCTGGATATCACCTTTGTTCGAAGGGGGAAGTACTGGTGACTCTACTATGAGCTGGCAGTCTGCTGAACAAGTAGATCGAGTCTGCGAGATGAGAGTTTGCACATGTTTGCGCTTCTGACCAGCGCTCGTCGTAAGGTTATTGATAAGTACACGACTAGAACCACTTGGTCCACGAGCCGTTGGTGGTAGCACTGTAGGGTTCAGAGTCTGAATGACGAGGCGGCTTCCACGAAGTGGTTGGGCAGACATGGTGGTTGCAAAGACAGAGTGCTGCCCTAGTGTCACGTTCCAGAGATGCAATGTTTCTTGAATTCTTCGGGAAGAACCGGACATGATGGATGCACAAACGAGCACATGAGGATACAGATGACGTTAAAAATCAATCACAGACTCACCATTCACTCATGGTATTGATGCCAGTTCTGAATCCGAACATGATTTGCCCCCTTCGGCATTCATGCCAGGTGTTGTGGGCCTAGTCAACATGAGTACTCAGATAGTTATCACTGCTCAACTTGCTCACCTTCGATGTCCTCAATTTGGTCCTTCCACACAACATCATTCTCCGCATTGGTGGAACCTCGAGGGCCAATTGAATCGCAGCCACGTCGAAACAGAGGCAGAGATAGGGTGTGATGAAGCGCTGCTGTATGAGCACGAAGAAGCAGGTAGATGTACAGTGTAGGAGGAGGTGCAGTCGACTGGTGTGGCCTCAGATAGGCAGTGGCAGGAGCATAGTGTTGACAGTGATGGGGAGGTGAGGTTGATGGTGAGGTAGTATATAGGCAGATAAAACCCGAGATATCGAGATGTACCCAAAACAGGTAGTCCGTGGATAACAGTGACAGTTCAATACAATGTCAGAAAGGGACTTTTCAGTCCTTGTATTCTGACGGAAGTCGGTCCCAACCTAACGACTCACTTCCTATCAAGACAATAAAAACAGAAGAAGTGGTGGTCGAGGAGTTGCATAATCAAGAACAGACTAGCAGTCTCCTTGAGGAAGGAACATCTGCGTGATCTACCACAACGTCAATTATCGTTTGAGCTTGGACCACACTGATCCAAGCTCATTGCTTACTGTTCAGAGAGTGAGTCTGTCATTTCTCATTCAAGTTTGGACCACACTGATCTCCAGTCATTACCCACTGTTCGATCATTGCCAATAACAACACCTGTTCACATTTTGATCAAGATGACTATTCTATTCACAAATGTTCACAATCCTACCTCTCTTCAATCTCAACACTAATCCCTGCCCCCATGACCACAACCTAGAAGTTGCATCAGGTAATGTCCCCACCTGGATCTCTGAGTTGTCTGAATGGTTCTTTCTCCTCCTCCTTGGATTTCAACAGCTCTGTCAACTCCCCCCTGCCTTTCAACTCCCCCCTGCCTTTCAACTCCCCCCTGCCTTTCAATGGGTCTCTCTGTGTTTTGCGCTGATGTGCACTGCTCTCACAACCTTCTTGTGCAAGTCGCAGTACTGTATAACTAGTGATTTATTTTACTTTTTGATTAAACATTATCAGTAATTACTTACTTTGTCTTGCGGACCCATTGATATCAATAAAGTTATTGTAAAATGTAGAGTGTATTTGAGTGTGTTTGTGAATTGATGTGATCGACAATTTGCTCTGAGTTCTTGTCGTGGTTCTTGATGACTGGAGTCCTAAATTGTCAATCTATTTTTGGCTTATATAATTGTAGAATATATGATTAATAGTGTTGGTTTTAAGCCTTTACGTCAACTTAGCTGTAACTACTTGAGCCAGGCAAAACTATAATTACACAAGCCATAACCACTTGTCAACTCCGCTATTTTTAGCTCAGGCCATGGCTAGAACCAGCAACAAGCTGGAGCCATGGCAACACTACTCCTGGCAGTATACCCCATGAGAAAATTCCTACAGCTCTGGTCCTCCAGGATGGTAGGTGACCTATTCCTATGCAAATATATGATATATATACACAATATAGATACATCATAAAGGTGACAATATCTTTCTCTACAGTCCAATGTCTCCTCCTACCTACACTGTATCATATTTTCGCATTTTTCACAGCATTATCATTAGATAGCCTATGTAAACTGTTTGCAGATAACTTATGGTACATATATGAAGCCCTCCCATGGCTATGATAATACAAAGATATGTCAGAGTACTGAGATCAATGATATAGAGGCAAACCCCACTATCATACAAATGTCATATTTTACCCATGTCTAGGGTGAAGATTTCATTAAAAATAGGTAGAATACATTGTAGACCACTTAAATATCCTATGCTAATATGTGTTGTGATGGTGAAAGTGATGTGGAAGTATTGTGGTTTCAATTTGTTGCATTATTATGGTGAGACCACCCATGCATAGACTGTTGGTACATAGTACTTTTTCGATGTTTGGACTTTTTGACTTTTTGACAACCTTTTTCTTATCTATTGTATTCCCCTGCTGTCAATTATTCATGGATCCTTCTAATAGTTGAAGACTGTATTAGGTGGTATATATAGTGTACCCTTTGATAGTCCAATTATAAGATTTCACTATATTTATGTCTCAGAATTCTTATCAGTGAGAATAGGAAATATGTGCTTGATATCATTATTTTGACATATTTATACCTGATCATGGCCATGGGAGGGTTTCACATATGTATTATGAGGAATATAAAATATAGTACAGTGTATGCAGGAGGAGACTTTGGATTGTAGACAAGGTTTCTGATATTGTTCTGGTATATCTATATGATAAATATATCCTATATGTGCATATTAACAGCCCACCTATGGTGCATGGCGCCTAGTCACCGCTACTTTGGACAGCAGCCAAATTGGTCGATGAAAATTTCTGCAACATCATGTGTACATGTTTAAGCTTTCATTAAGCTACCTTGAGCTTAGAGTGACTTCATGTAACAAATATGATATTGTTCTACTCCAGCACACTGAGCACAGTAATGATGAATGCCTCTCTCAAAAAAACACTGCCACCAAGCCACCACCGGTGAGCACGCCTATCTGCTTGACTAGTGTTAATTACCATATATAGTAGTTCCCATGCCACCTGGCCAATTCTTAGATACAGGAAATTTAGATCTCCCTCAAATTTTGAGATATGGGAAATTGGTCTGGTAGATCAACTCTGATGCTTGTTCAGAGTGTTTCTGTGAGAGTAATAAGGATTTGAAACATATCTGCATGTATGATAAATTTTGTACAAAAGTAGTGGTGACTAGGCGGTGTGCACCATACCATCCTAGAGAGCTAGAGCTGCAGGAAATTTTTTCTTAGGGGGTGGTAAACCACCAAGAGGATGTAAATATCCCAAGGGCTGATCCTACTAACCTATGCTCCCGATATATTGTGTATACTAGTGAAGAGATATTGGAAATCATATTTTGAAGCCCATATACTTAAACACTAAAAAATGTGAAACACTTCTTTCATAATGTGTCCTTGGGGAAGACAAGGTTACAACACTACAAGGAATAGTCCTTGTGTCCTGAGCTTCTAACATGTGGTACATATATACAAAGTCATTGTAGGGAGCATATCTGCTGGACAATATATCAAATACCTGAAAAATGCGAACTAGTTTATGCTTTTGAGAGGTATGTTTGAATTTAACATATATACTGATGTAGGACACTTCAGAGGCTCAAGAAAGTGGTGTTATATATTTATGAACACTTTAATATATGATATATACAGTCAGCACAGCTCCCCTGCTAAAGGGGCAAAAAAGAGAATATGTTTTAGTCCTGGGGTGCACATATTGTTGTTAGCATTGCAGACTGCTATACACGCTCTTATGCAATAAAAAAAGTGGTCTATTGTGTCATTTTATGTATGTACATGCTAAGCTACTACTTATACACAAGAGTGAATAAGGGGAAAAGCTGTAGTGAAGCAGGTAGAGCCAGGGAGGTATGTGGGAATAGTGAGAATATTAGAATATCCCAATTTGGTGATTTTTCTGGTAATAGCACTATTTTTGGGAGATCCTGATCTTTGGATTTGTGCCTGGTATCATTTGGGTGACATGCGAGAAGCGCTATCTAGGATGTTAAGCTTCAGGCCAACAGCTCCGAAACAAACTTACAAAACACATTGTGTCTTATTGGACATGGTTAATCATCATGTCGGAAATTTCCTATTTGGGATTCATGGCCTTGCAACGGGTTGCAAGGATCTAATGACGAGCCTAGGTTCCAATGTGTTACAATAAAAGAGCATTATGTTACAATTATGTCACAAGCTGGTTGCAATTGTGCCTTTCAATGAAAGTTTCAACCCAATTATCAATATTAGCTGTTGCCTGCAAGTCGGCTTGCAATAATTGAAGCTGATTTCATTGTCTCAATAAATATTGTTCAGTTTGAAGTTAATTCGAACATCATTGAAACCAACAAAATCAGATTTTAATGAGCACTAATCTGACTGCATACTACTGTAATACACTGCAACAGTAGTTCTAGTTCCTTCTCCAAGTTCGTGTTTCTCACTGCTCTGCTGACAATGATATAGCCACTAGCCTACCCCTCTTTCCTCTTCCATGGCCCCGTCGACCAGAGGATGAAGCTGCTGGTTGCAGCATTTCCACACTGTCAGGAACATCAGGAACTGGAGGGGTTTCATCAGCTGCGAGCACAACTGGAGCAGCAGGGGTTATAGTGGCAGTAGTCTCGACAGCAGGGGTAATGGCTGGTGCTAGTGCAGTGAGGGGAAAGGCAGGTGGTGCAGCCAGAGCGAGTGTCGGTGAACTGGGGAGAACCAGAGAGACATGGTGATCATCAGTAGTCAGAGAGTCTGATTCTCGATCTTTGTGCCCTGCATTAGCGAGGGCCAAGTGCATTAGATTGGATGTCAAATGCTCGCCTTCAGCATCTGAAGTTGCGATATTGGAAGATGATGTTGACTGCCAGACAACGATCCTGATTGCCTAGGTGAATTTGGACCAGACAGCATAAAAATAGATTCAGACAGTGATAAATAAAACAAGTACCTTTGTGAGCGGCTCCCGATTTCTGAAAACCATGGACATCATAGGGTCCCTTTCCTGCCTCATAAAAAGGACAGGTGGGAACTTTAACAATGTTGAACAACTACCTGGACCAGTCATACCGAGCATCTTCTGGATTTCAGGGATTGTGTCTTGATTTGTAAAACCAATGTCAAAGTACGATGGATTGAGACTGAAAATTTGACCTGCCATCACCCTTAACTTGCCAATAGCGCTCGAGTGACTGCCTTGAAGTTGTTGTTCTAGCTGCAGTACATAATAACAATCATTGTTAGGTCACACAACATAATAGACTGACATACCAACAATTGAAAATGTGAAGTCGGTACAAACCAATGGAGATGGTCTGGAAGAAGTGAGTATAGCTCACTCATGAGACTGAGCTCTTCGGCACTTTTGCTGGCATAGTGACTTTTGGATATGATTGCAGGTGGAGGGTTTGGCACAGGGAGTTTAAGGATATGATGCTCAGGTGGGAACATCTCCACAACAATTCTGTACTTGTGGGAAAATGTCGAGAGCTCGACATTGAAAACTTTCAACTCATCTGGAACTTGAGCACTTGAACGCCGGCATTGATTAGATGACAAAGTCTTGTTCTTCTCGCCCAGAGTATGGTTCTCATTCTTGAGTGCCTGGTTTTCCAACTGCAAGTGCCGAATGATCTTAAGACATGAGAATCAGTATATTGAATAGTTGCAAGCATTACATGACTACAATACCTCAACATCCCCATGTGACTATTGCCTGCGGCTGTTGGAGACTGTTTCAGATGACTGATGACTAGCAGTTGATGAGATCCCTGCTGTAATAGATAGAGAGTCCAAATCATCGAAGTCCAATTCAGATGCATCAGATTAAATGATGTGACAGGGAGCCTGCTGGGGCATAATGTCAATGAGAGAGATACCTGCAGTGGGTTGAATTTCAGACTCAGTGGTTATAAAAAAATATGATGGGGCAGATAGCTTATAGGTGCGGCAGTCGATGGGCAATGTCAGAACAAAAGGAACATATGGTCATACATGAGGTAGCTTGATATTGCAGTATAGCACTGATAATCAAACAAATTAGCCTCATGGCTTGATGGGAGGCAGATAAAATGATGCAACTTACCTGTAGACATAGTGACATGAGTCATAGCTGCATTAGTTTATGTTGAGAGGTTGTAGCTGCTGTTCCATGATCCTCAAAGTATTGTCAAACTGAGTCTTGTTGATGTAACACTTACAGTTACAGTGTCAATGAACGACAAAGTTGGTTGAATCTAGGTTGAAAGACCAATTGAAACCAATGGACTTGGCAAAAATGTCAGCATATTATTACATAATCATCTGTCATTGACAATGCGGCACTCAGCATGTGGTATAGTGCATGTGGAGAGCTGTAATTAAGTGCAATGACACATCTAGAAGTCCTCTTCCAATGAGTTAGGTTTGATCACATGACTGACATTCACCTTTGAGTAGTCCGATACATGCTTTTCAAAGAAAGTTCTGCACCCAGATCCCGTGCATCAGATCACCAATGGACCACTGAAAATTTGGATATGTGACTCACAGAATATGATTAATCTTGGCTCGCTACACAATGTCGATAGCGCACATAGGATTTTCGACCTCCTTGCGCCATCTTGGGTAGCTCATGGTAAATGGGCTTCATGAGGAGGTCTGTCAGCTGACAGAATGGAGCAGACAGGACAGCATGCTTATGGTCTGGTGAGCTGTGGAGCAAGCCGGCCATGTTACAACATCAAGGCTGCAGTGGCGCATTGCTGGTCAGGCACAAGCACTTGGTCTTGGCCAACTCCAACCCAACAAGGAGCCTACTGCTGGGACTGATGATTGTGACAATGTTGCAGTGAACCCATTGCTGCATGACTTGGCTAATTGGGGATGGAATCCTTACAGTGGTGAACCGCTGACTCTACACAAGATGGTCCTTGAACTACTGCAGGCCGGTTTTCATTCTCTTAAGCTTGACCAACTTTTTCCAAACTTGAGTATGGCCTTGCTCGATGAATCTTCGATGGTGACAGCCTGAGGATGGTGTGGATGACATTTGAGGTAGCTAAAGAGCAAGCAGGCAAATCAGTGTGCATACCCTTATCACGGTTGATGCGCTCGTTGGAGAACATAAGGCCAGGTAGTCTCCAGACCAGTGGTTGTGCCGTCCTGGGTGCCTAAGTGATGGATTTGAGGCTACCCACTATGGAGAGCCAACAACCAATATTGTGTGAATCTTCCAGGTCATCAGCTACAGAGAGCCAACAACCAATATTGTGCAAATCTTCTGGGTCATCAGCTGCAGAGAGCCAATGACCAATACTGTGCAAATCTTCTAGATTGCCACACTGTCATGAGTGCCCAATGCCCCTGCCAGCTAAAACAGGACGGCCGGAGACAGCAGCCAAATTCACCAGGAGGGTCCAGGACCATTTCGTTCTGTGCAGTCTGGGTGAATGAATGAAGGGGGGGAGGGAGATGGTGCTTACCCACCTGCAACAACAGCACAGACACAGAACATGACAGAGGAGGCCCATTTCATCCCACTTGTGCAACTCCCTGCACATCCACCTGCTAGCATGGTATTACAGTTAACATGCCTGGACCTAGGCTAGGTCCTGATTGATAGCAGTCGGGACCACTATGACTTCATTATGGCCTGGAAGGCCTCCCAATTCCATCATGATGGCTGTCCTCCTCATGTAGATCTAGACTGACACATGTTGCCCCATGCATTGATAGTGTTAATGTTGTACTCTCGTAGGATCGGATCTGAAGAACTTCAGCCTCAGCTCATATGCTGTGCCCCTTTCCCAAGTACTGTCCCTTATTTCAAGTACTAATGAGAACATGTCCAAAGGTCTGGACAAGTCTCATAGTTATATCTGGATGACTTCCGGATATCGGAAACACGTATAAGGCTAATCCGGACAAGTCCAAACTAGAAACTAACAGAGTATAGACTACCTGAAGGTAGAGCCGAGGATATAGACTATCAGAATTGATCCGAAGTCTCGGAGGATGACAAGAGTTAGATAGACTCAAGTCCAAAGAATAGAAAGAGGACAATCTAAGATGATATTCGAACTGAGGTACTACAGGACATACATATGTATACATGAGTTTATATACTAAGAGAAATAATGGAATGATCAATAAGCAGAGGTCCAAGGCTATGTATGAAGCATGTGCAAAGGTTATTAAATGCGAGTCGGAAATGAACATAGGTTAACGGATCAGTAAGCATACCGGTAATAAGTATAACTGAAACACCGGGAAGAGGAAATACTGAATAGGCTGTGTTTAATGTTATATGAACAGGAAATGAATTAAGAAGCTTATCTATATCAGATTGGAAGCGGATCTATGCATTGGACTGGATTGGATCTAAGGGTCCAAAGTCTGGAAGAGAAGCGTGACTATATGAGATATGACAGATAGACTCAAAGGCTGGAGCGCCTCATGTACGTATCTTGACATAGAAGAGGCGCCTCATGGATCTTATCTCTGACTCAGATAGATCCACAGATACGAACTCCTCCCGAACTATGTAGGATAGACCCTATATAACTTAGACACATATCATTGTATTCTTTACTTTGATCTAATTGGTGTACCCTAGAACTAGTACAATCCCAGTACTTGGTTTTCCTTTGAACATCCTTTCAGAGTGACTCCCAGTCCCTCTGTCTTGAGCGCACTTCTAAGGCAAGCCGACGCTACCTTAGCCATATCATCCATTAGCCCTACAGCTTGACAAGCCGCTGTGCTTACCAAGCTCATCGGAGGATACCTCAGGATTCCCCTGAGCTTAGAACCCATCCTTCCATCTTCTCGAGACCGCTTAGAGACTAGCCATTCAGCTATGGAAGGCTCAACCAATCCAAGTCGTAACACATGTGAGCTTCCGAACACACGATGAGATGCCTGCAAGAATGTCCATAGTACATTTACCATATCTAAAAAGTTGAGTTGAAGATTGATTCACAAATGAAATTAAGTCACTGACTTTCAGGTAGGTCAATTTCACCGACAAACTTCTTGCAAAGCTCTTCAAGCTTGTCCTCAGTGTTCTGAGAGTCCAGTGAGATTGAACACTTGTGATAACCGATCAAAACAGGAAGGGTGTCCTCATCATCGGCTGTCTGAGAGTCCAGCATCAAGACAGAACACTTGCAATCATCGATCAAAACAGGAAGGGTGTCTGTTCAGATGGCTTGGTTGGCGAGACTAGTGAGGTACTTGCCAGGGCTGTAGCAGTCTAATTATTCAGAACATGTTAACTAGGACAACATAGATTAAGTTAAGAATGTGCAAACCTTCTTTCTTGGTGTTGGAGCAGGTGATGATACATGAACTGGTGCAAGAGTAGAAGCAGCAGTAAGTGGCATTACTATGTCTAAATGTCAGTTCAACAGGGAGGCTGCCACTGAGGCATGCCAGAGGCTTCTCGTACTATCACAAATACATATAGCAGCGCTTAGCATTGCACTTATGATAGTATGGTCTCCATCTGAATCCACACCCTTGCCCACTCTCATGAACCTTCGCCCAGTTCTGAATCCAACCCATGTATACATCTTTGAATGACTGAGGGCAATCCTATCTGTGGAGGCCATTTCCCTGAATAGCCAAATTACCTGGACCTGCTGCGCCTCCAAGGTGTACAGCTGGTGAAAAACTGTTCCACCTCTCAAACAGTTGTCACAACCTTTTGGGCAAAGGTAGGAATCAAAACACTTATTGAAATGTGTGAGGACTAATGACCATTGGCAGTCAGCCTCTAAATCATAGTGGCAGTAATGGGCTGTCACTGAGAGGTCTTCCAGTTGTCACTTTTTCTCCTCTGGAGTCTGGTCTGGTCCTTTGTAATTGCAGCAGGTGAGAGGGAGTGTGGTGTACAGGATCATGATCATTGTTGAAGAGGAAGCTAATAACTTGCCGCTTTAGTGTAGGACAATGCAGTCAAACAAATGTCAAGGTGAACAAATCAGTCACAAGTAACCTACTAACCAGCTGTAGTACTATTAATACAAATTTCCTTTATGTGAAGGAACATATCTGTATTGAGGGTATCAACAACCAAAGCCTCATTAGGTCTGCATGAAAGCATGAGGAGGACATCTTAAATCAGAGCATACCATGGGATAACAGTCTGAGAGCGCCGCTGCATGCATGGTATCTGAGAGTTGGTGCTGAATGATGGGAACAATTATATTATGTCTGATGGGACAGCTAGAAATGGAGTGGGACTGAATGACTTTGATGAATGCATTGTAAAATAGTCAGATACAGGCCTTACAGCAAATTATTTTGGGCTTTGCACCTTATTCACCAGTGGCAGTCCTAGATTGCCACTGTGGACAGGGTCATTTTTTTGTGCAAGCATGAGGGGGACATTTTAAATCAGAGCATGCCATGGGATGGCAGTCTGAGAGCGCCCCCGCATGCATGGTATCTGAGAGAGATGATAGATAGAATATTTATGTGGATGGTGAAGGGCATGCATGGGCGGCAGGCTCAGAGTGCCATTGTGTGCGTGCATGAGCGTGGCGGTGCCCATTCCTACCTTTTGTTCAATCACTACAGGAGAATGTTTACTTTATTTATTATGCTTATTTTGGCCTGGGAGACAATCATATTGTCAAGTGTTTTTGACACCGCAAAGTTTCTACTTTCACCAGTGGCAGTCTGAGAGCGCCGCTGCGTGCATAGTATCTGAGAGTGGTGGGAGAGAAGGGGAGGGATAGAATATTTATGTGGATGGCGAAGGGCATACATGAGTGGCAGTCTCAGAGTGCCACTGCGTGCATGGTCAAACAGTGGTGGCAGGGGGGGATGTTGATATAAAGGGCATGCATGGCAGCCATCCGAGAGTGCCACGGTATATTTTCATATTTTGGGAAGCCATGTTGGGAGCTGCATGGCGGCCGTCTGAGAGTGCCATGGTATATTTTCATATTTTGGGGAGCCATGTTGGGAGCTGCATGGCGGCCGTCTGAGAGTGCCATGGTATATTTTCAGATTGTGGGGGCGGGGACGGAGAGTAAATTTTCATATTTTTGGGGAGCCATGTTGGGGGCTGCACGGCGGCCGTCTGAGAGGGCATTCCATTAAATTCACTGCCTAAAGATGCCAATCAATAACAGTATTGTAGAGAGCCAATACATACTCACTTGGTCATGGACCACAATAAATTTGACGAGTTGCCTGTGCATCTCCTCGATAGTAAAATCCGGTGTGTCATCTGCAAGTGCTGACCCACCTAGCCTGGGTCGTGAACCAAAGACCCCCCCTGCCAGGGGGGGAGGGCAAACCAAATGACTCAAGATACTTATTTGGGTCCTGGTTAAGCTAACCCGAACTGCCGTGTAACCATTAAAAGCCAGAGCCAAACTAGCCATAGCTGAGCCACAGCATTACTAGGCCCAATGCTTATGGCAAAAAATGCAAAATTTGAGGAAGTCATGGATATACCAGAGGACAAGAGGTTAAAAAGTGGTGGTTGGGTACAAAATTTCCTGCAAATGTGAGCCAAGAGTTAATATTTTACACCATATCAATTTTCTGCTGCAAGTTGAATGCATGAGTTCAAACCAGCTGTGTTTCATTTTGAATTTTTGTTTACTTTTTTGAGAACGCTGCTACTATTTCTCTACTTGAAGGCCACATATATAAAGGAAGATAGAAAGATAAACAACTTAGTGCGTTGTAAGATTTTGATTTGTTGCATGCTGTGGCACTTGCTCGCTCCATGTCTCTTCCTCCAAAAAAATAATACTGTCCACAGCAACACACTAAGACTGACCTCAACAGAAGATCAAACTCACAGTGTCATTGTAAGACTATCATCTAAGCATGCTCTCACTGAACCCCTCCCCTTCACTTTCATGTCTTTTTTTTGAAAAATAATTTTTTTGGGTTAGTAGATTTATCTTTATATCTGCCTTTTTTTGCCCTTCCACTGTGGCAGTCCCAGAGTGCCACTATGGGCAGAATTCAAAAATAAATTCCTGTGTGAAGCATCCCTTAATTCACAGTGGCAGTCTTAGATTGCCACCGTGGACAGGGTCTTTTTTTTTTTTTGTGAAAGCATATGGTGTACATTTTGAATCAGAGCATGGTTATTGGATGGCAGTCTGAGAGCACCACTGCGTGCATATTATCTGAGAGTGGTGGGACCATAGACAGGGTAATTTATTTTGTGCAAACAAGAGGTGGATAGAGGGCAGACATTTGAAATCAGAACATGCCCATGGATGGCAGTCTGAGAGTGCCGCTGTGGTGCATGGTGAGATGGCTATATGTTTTTTTTGGAGGGTGGTGAGGAGTGCCAGTGGTGAGATGGCTATATGTTTTTTTTGGAGGGTGGTGAGGAGTGCCAGTGGTGAGGAAGCTGATATCCTTATCTTGCAAGTGGAGCATAGACTCATTTTTTGATGAGCTCCACTCGCTCAGTGAATTGCATATAGTAGCTAGATTCAGGCATCATCAAAGTCAACGCACAGTGGCATTCCCACAAGATGCGCACCACTTTCATGAATTATGAATTCCAAGCATTATTTTTTTTAGAAGAGACATGGTAGAGTGAGCTTGAGTTTTTTTGCCCTTCCACTGTGGCAGTCCCAGAGTGCCGCTGTGTGCATGATCTAACAGTGGAGGGAGGTGGCAGATAGTGGTAGTCTCAGAGTGCTGCAGCTCTTATTCACCAGTGGCAGTCCTAGATTGCCACCGTAGACAGGGCCTTTTTTTTTTGAAAGCATATTTATCATGCTTATTTTGGCCTGGAGACAATCACATTGTCAAGTGTTTTTGACACCGCAAAGTTTCTACTTTCACCAGTGGCAGTCTGAGAGCGCCGCTGCATGCATAGTATCTGAGAGTGGTGGGAGAGAAGGGGAGGGATAGAATATTTATGTGGATGGTGAAGGGCATACATGAGCGGCCGTCTCAGAGTGCCACTGCGTGCATGAACGACTTTGATGATGCATTGTAACATAGTCATAGTCAGAAATACAGGATGCGCGCGTAACTTTTGCTTTATTCATCATGCTTATTTTTGGCTTTGCACGGAGTGCCACTGGAGACACGGTCTTTTTTCTTTCTTTCTTCTTGCACTTTATCTTTTGGCTGTGAAGCCATGACAGTTAGTGCTGCTGCATGTAGATTGCCATCATGGACAGGGTCATTTTTTTGTGAAAGCATGAGGCAGGCATTTTAAATCAGAGCATGTCATGGGAGGGCAGTCTGAGAGTGCTGCTGCATGCATGGTATCTGAGGAGTTGGTAGATAGAATTATTTATGTGGATGGTGAAGTGCATGCATGAGTGGCAGTCTCAGAGTGCCACTGCGTGCATGGTCAAACAGTGGTGGCGGCATTGTCAAGGGGGGGGGGGGGGGGATGTTGATATAAAAGGGCATGCATATTTTGGGGAGCCATGTTGGGAGCTGCACGGCGGCCGTCTGAGAGTGCCATGGTATATTTTCATATTTTTGGGAGCCATGTTGAGAGCGGGTATATTTTCAGAATGTGGGGGCGGGGACGGGGTAAATTTTCATATTTTGGGGGGGAGCCATGTTGGGGGCCGCACGGCGGCCATCTGAGAGTGCCATGGTATATTTTCAGATTGTGGGGGATGGGGATGGGGTACATTTTCATATTTTGGGGGAGCCATGTTGGGGGCCGCACGGCAGCCGTCTGAGAGTGCCATGGTAAATTTTCATATTTTGGGGGAGCCATGTTGGGTGCTGCACGGCGGCCATCTGAGAGGGCCATGGTATGTTTTGAGATTGTGGGGTTTCATCTTTTGGGGAAGCCATGTTGGGGGGCCGCACGGCGGCCGTCCCGGAAGGCCAGGTTTTGAAATCGTGTCGGCTATTGAAATGGGACCGTGGGAAAACCTAGGACTGCCGTTTTTTTGGCTGGTCCGGAACCTGAAGGTGCTCATAACCTTATCAGCTACTAATGCTACGAGGCACTCCGCAGCTGTACCACTCCGCCGGCCCATTACTTCATTTGCAATTCCGCTTGTTCATGCCGAGATTGTCATGGATGACTCGCTAAAGAACGACGACACTAGGATCACATACAGGGAGCCACAAGAAATCGAGGTCATCCGGGTTGGAACAATGGAATCATACAAAATGTGCCGTGTGCCGGTGTTGGAAGGTGGGAGGAAGCGAGGGTTTGTACCGCTGCCCCTGAGATACCGGGATCTATGGCTTGAACTTTCTTACAATATCGTACTGTGCTCCAACCTATGGGAGCTTTGGGAGGAAGAGGGTATGAAGAAGTTGAAAGGCAAGAAGGCGAACATGGTGGAGACTTGTCGAAAGAACACAGGGGTAATGCTTGTCCAACACATGCTCACTAGGCGGTTGGTTGTGGAGCAGTTACTGAAGTTGGATTACCTCACGGAACCTGGCAAAGAGAGCGTCCCACTTTTGGACGAATGGAAGATTCGCATGTGTCGTGATTGGTGGAACAAGAGTTATGATGAGGCTTTCGCTGAAGGGCGCGAATTCCTGTCAGCGGATCCCGTGACAGCTCCAAATAAGGCATTCTTCGGTAAGTCTATTGCATCCGCCTGTGCTCGACAACGCGTGACATGTTGTCAGAAAAAGGATGGAATATTAATGACCAAGGGAAGGAATCATTGTCCCCCCCGTATCCTTCCATGTGGATCAACGGTCGCGTTCAGGGAATTCGCAAAACGTTTGAACGTACCATCAAGCCACAGGCACTTGACGAGTTGAAGAAGCCCAGCGAATTTCACGAAACTCGGCATTTGAAAGATGGTGAGCTTCCAGGACGCTGGCACGAGGGACATAATCCTTGTCCTTTCTTCTGGAGTGCAGCACAATGGGAGTGGTACAGCGAAGGTTAATAAGACTATACCGCATCATCTCTTCTAAGCTACTGACGATGTGACGCGATTCAGGACACAGTTTTGCAGAAACTCCAGTCGCCTTCTTCAATTTCGTCCTCAGGAAAGAGCCTAGTTATGCGGATGTCAAAGAATTTGAGCACGATGTCAAGAGCATTGCCAATATTATTTTTCCTAATGGTAACGGAAATGACTGTGACAATATCCAGGGAATTGTAGGCTGGACTCTGGCTTGGCGAGATGACCTGGAGGGAATTCGTGGATTACCTGAGGCAGAAGTGGAATCTAGATGAAAATTCCTGCAAGCCTTGGGAAAAAAAGAGTATCAACATCTTCTCTTGCATGCTACACCCCATGTTCAAAAAGCCTTCTATTCTAGATGAAAAAAACCCCTTCGATAGCTTGGAAGCGCAGTTGATCTTCCAGGGATTCATGCGCCGAGGCTCCGAGAACAGAGATTGGAATCCTGAGGATCAGATCCTGTGGGAATCTTTGTTGAGAATGAGCCCAAAAGAATATGAGCCCGTATGGAAGAAGGTGGTAAAAACCATTTTGGAGGAGGAGAAGTCTGTGCGAGATGTGTTGAAGGATGCGGGGAATTGGTTGCAACATTGTGAGTGTTTGCAATGCTGGTTTCATTTCCCGTACACGCTATACTGCGTCGCCAGTAAAATGACTCTAATGGTGATACTTGCGTCTCAGCTCAATCCATGGAGGATACCGAAATAAGTCAGGTAGAACGTCAAGCTCAGCCTCATGTTCATCTTGAAAACGTTGATCGTGGCGGCGCTTCTGCCGATTCCAACTCGCCTCCAAAAACAACGCAGAAACAGTCCACAACATCTCATCAATTGCCACCCATCTATGGATGGATGGTTGCATATGTTCAGAACACCATCTCCTTGGAGACATTTGAAGAGAAGCTTATAGACTCTTTATCGAAAGAGCATGAGAAAGGCATCAAACAGTTCATCGATGACATTCGTACGATTTCTCCTGGGAACGATCAGGCATCAAAGGATGCCCTAGATTTGTTCGTCAACCACGTCAAGGCAGTAGAAGCTAGAACAGAGGCTGAACAGTTGCATAACGAGCTTCTCTGATTTTGATCTTGTTGAGCTAGCTTCCCGTCACAATCACCGCTCTTCTTACTGATGTATCAATATCAAGGAACTTGGAACAGATGGCTTGAAGTAACAATTGTAGTACAGCTTTCTCGAATTTACTTGCAAGGTCGCCCTGCATTATGTAGAACAAACGCACATGTCACAAAATTCAAATTCAGTCACACAGAAAATTGAATGTTAGAAACCTACACATGAGCAAAACGTAAAGTTACGAGCGAGTTCGAGCCGACGTAATATAAGACTTTGCAAAGTTATGATGCAAAACGCGACGATACGATGTGCTCAAACGGTTTTGTCCAACTTGTCTCACCCTATGAATTGCAATACAAATATAAAATGATGCCGTTGCACCTTGCCACACCAGGCTTCATATATGCCTATTTGACATGTAAATTCCTGGTGTGCAAGTCCAGTGACGTAAAACTTCAAGTAACTCGCGCAGACTGGTGTTCGAGTCGCTGATGCGCTTACGCCTACGTTGGTCATTTACGAGACGCAAGTTCAAACGAGCTTCACGTGCATCACAGGCACAGGCTCGCGCAGCACAGGCTCGCGCAGCACAACGACTATCGTGCGTCAATGTTGATATCCGACGTTCATCATCCTTTTCCTTAATCATATCTTCTTCCAGTTTGCCATCACCTTTGCCAACTTCATCAAACATGAACGAAGGACATCAACCAACTGCCGAAGAGCTTGATCAACAAGAGACAAGCAGTCGAGGAAGATTGCAAGGATGCTAGAAGGGAGTTAGAGCGCTATAAACGTGAGCCACTGACACCCAATGCGGGCGAGCGTGTCACTGATCTTGTATGGTTCGTACAGCTAATCATTATCCTTCAGCGCATGGAGAAAAATTACCCGCTATTGTTCTGTGTTGCAATGGACGTTCTTCCAGCACAAGCATCTTCAGTGCCTTGTGAGCACGTCTTTTCATCCAGCAAAGAGACAAACTCGCTCCGCCACAGCAAAACGTCTTCCGAACTTATGGAGGCCCTACAAATACTCAAGTTTTCGTTTAGGCAGGACAGACTATGCTTCACAAGGGATTTTATTGCGAAGGAAGAAGACTATGTGATTTCTGGACCTGTGACACAAAGTGCTACTGAGGAGTTGATACATGCAGGGAAGTTGGATGAACTTCAGGATCTCGTT